ACGTGAGGGACTGCGACCCGGCTGGGCGGACAACATTGGGGGTGGTACTGGGTGAGTTCAGGGTGCTCTCTCCCCTCCAGGAGCTGGCTGCAGGAGCTCAGCACACCTCTGGGTGAGCCCTAGCTGTGCCAGCTCTGCTTTCCCTTCCACTTGCCAGTCCTGGCAGCTGTCCCTCTGCCACCCACGGGATCGGGCGGCAGGGCCAGGGAGGGACCAGGCATTGCGGGGAGTCCCAGGGCTGTGGGGAGGGTTTGCCTGCTCCAGGTGTTGGTGTAGGGTCTCCTGTAAACAGGCGAGCGGGAGCGTTTCTGGGTAGGGAGCAATGAGCACTGCACTCAGCAGAAGTGACCCAGCCTGCCCGTGTCCCCCCAGGGATGGCTCCAGCGGGAAAGGCAGAAGAAGCAGCAGCCATCCAGGCCCGCAGAGTGGCTGGGGGGCCAACTGCTGCTCTGTGGTGCAACCCCAGCCTCCAGCACAGTGTGGACCTGGGCTGAGCTGCTCTTGATGTAGTTTCCCTCCCTGAGCTTGCCCAGGTGGGACTTGGAAGCACTGCAAGCAACCAGGGCATCCCACAGTGAGGAGTCCCACCCTTGAACCACTCCTGTCCTGGCCCTGTGGTGTCACCAATTCTCAAGACCCTGTGCCAGAACGCAGAGTACGTCCATACTGCTGGCTAACCCATCTCCCCCAGCCCCATCACAGGCTGCCCAGCTCCGCAGCACCCTGGAGCCAAACACTGCTCTTTTCTGGCTTTTATTGACATGGACAAGTCTCAGCTGGATTCTGCTCCTTGGAGTCAAGCCCAGTCCCTGTTCCATGCCCGGCACCATCACGCAGGGACCTCCATCTCCCTCTGCGGCTGCTCCTTGGTCTCCAGTGCCTGGCGTGTGTCCACCTGCCACTGCTGCACTAGGTCCGTCGGGGTCTTGCCAGCCTGCAAGAGCGGGCAGGGAGAGGCTGGGGCCCGAGTGGCGTGACACGGTGGGGCAGCAAATGGCCCCTGTGCTGGGCCCCACTGCTCACCTGGTTCTTGGCCATCATGTCGGCCCCATGCAAGATCAGCATTTTGATGATCTTATAGCGGCTGAGCCGTGTGGCGTCATGCAGCGCCGTGTCCCCTTCCTGCGAGAGACACAGCCTGGCTGGGGATGGCAGTCCAGCTCTGGGGACACGGACCCCCTGCCTGTCCCCAGCACTGCTCTCTGGCTTGCCGCACACCCATCTTCCCATGGGGACAAGGGGCACAGTGGCCACCTCAGCCCTGGGTGCAACTGCTGGCATCCCAGGGCAGGGACGTGCCCTGCTGCGGGTGCTGGAAGCCTCCAGAGGGGTCAGCCAAGGGAGGGGAGATCTGTGTTGCCCCCCCAAGTGCTGGCTGCTCGGCTGCGGCACTCACCCTGTCCGGGGAGTTGATGTCCACCCCGCAGTGGATGAGGTGCTCCACGATGTCAGGGTGCCCCGTCCGGGTGGCCACATGGAGGGGGGTGCTGAGCAGCTTTGAGGGGCAGGAGATGGACACCAGAGGGGATCAGCACCCACTCCTGCTAACCCAACACAAGGCCAGCCCTGGCTCCCCAGGGCATGCCCATGCCCCTGGCTCAGCCGCGTGCCCCAGGCTCTGCCCTGCACACCTTGTCCTTCAGGTTGAGGTCTGCCCCGCGGTCCTGCAGCAGCTTGACGGCATCCAGGTGTCCACCCCGGCAGGCCCAGTGCACAGCGGTGCAGTCCAGCTGGGCACACAAAGCCACATCACCTCAGGGGACACCCCCACCCCATGTTCATTCCCTACCCCAGCCAGTCCCAGTGCCTGGGCTGAGCCAGGAAAGCCCTGCCTGTGGCCACCTCGGCAGTGGGGACAGCACCGCTCCACTGCGGGGACCCCAGAACTGCTGTTGCTCCAGCTACGCCGTGCCCGGAGGCTCGGGTTGGCATGGAGCCCGGGGCAGGATCTGGCCTCACCCGGTCCCTGAAGTCGACGGTGGCCCCGCTGTCCAGCAGCTTCTGCAGGATGTCCATGTGTCCCTCCAGTGAGGAGCGGTGCAAGGCCGTCCGGTGGAACTGGGGGTTGAGGTGCCACATTGGTGGCCGGATGCATTCCCTTGTCCCAGCCTGGCTGTACCCCATCCCAGGGGGGCCAGCCACCACCGGCAGGCATAGGGGGCATGGGGGCAGAGGGCAGGTGGGGGGGAGCCG